ATATCATCAGCAGGTGTGATGAGCTGAGCATACTGCTAGCTTGCTCTGAAGATGCATGGCAGATGGAACATAATACCAAGACTCCTAGACCTGTCCTGAATCCCAGCCCTTTATCTTTTTTTTTTGCTTCTCCAGGCTGCAGCACTGACTGTGTGTGATTGCTGGTGAGATAATTTGTGGGACTTCTACCTGGGATCCTGACCTTGAGTGGAGGCAGCAGATCCACTTGATTTCTCCAAGACAAACATGTCAAACTGGGGACCTTCCGGGCCAAAGTGCTGCAGAGATCAGCGTTTACCCTCACCTAACACTCTGAATTCAGTTCATGAAGTCCTTGCTAATTAGCTGATGAGCTGAATCAGGTGTGTTTAATGCAGTCTGCTGAAGCCTGTAGTGTTTTGGCCCGTGAGGACTGGAGTCCGACACATGCTCTAAGATGTCTCAGCCTGTGTTACATTGATTTTAAGGCTCCTGGCAATTCTTTAATAAGGTCTTATATCCTGTGTGGCCTCCGCTGTTTACTAACTATGGAAAATAGCATCATCTCCAAGAGTGCAGGGCCACTGCATTCGGATGCTTCACCATCTTGTGAGATGGGAGAAGCGTCTTCTGGTACTCACGGCACTCGTGACACATTTTGTAGACAAACTCAGACTCAAAATCCAGGAAAGAACAGAAAACATCTCTGCTCGAAGTGTGGGAGGAGCTTTACTCAGAAGTGTAACCTGCAGAAACATCAGCTTACTCACACAGGAGAGAAACCGTATCGGTGTTTAGAGTGTGGAAAGAGTTTTACCCAACAGTGTCATCTCAAATTACACCGCCGCATTCACACCGGAGAGAAACCGTATCAGTGCTCAGAGTGCGGGAAGAGTTTTAATCAGATCAGTAATCTCCGAACACACCAGCGCACCCACACAGGAGAAAAGCCATATCACTGCTCAGAGTGTGGGGTTAGTTTTGGTGACAGAAGCACTCTCCAAAAACACCAGCGCACTCACACAGGAGAAAAGCCGTACGACTGCTCAGAGTGTGGGATCAGTTTTAGTGTTCGATGTACCCTTCAGCGACACCAGTACATTCACACAGGAGAGAAACCGTATTACTGCTCAGACTGTGGGAGAAAACTTCAGGCAGTCCAAAACTTTAAAGACACACAAGTGCATTGAGAGAGCTGGACACTCATGAGTTTATCAGAGGAAAAGGTGCATGCAATGGTTTGGACTGTATATATCTGTGTCTCTCTTCTGTATGCTGTACACTGCTACCCATTCAAGGGTTATTCAGGGGTCGGGTGCTGAACTGATGTTCTAAATGATTCCACATTTGTCAATCATTTTGAAGTTGGGTGCACAGCTGGCCTACATGATAGATGCGTTGCTTCTCTGAGTAGCATTGTGCTTAACTGTCCAATAACAGGGGGGTTTATTAGGTTAGATTAGTGAAATTCAATGTATTCATTTAAATTAATTAGGTTATTAAACTGGGGGATTCATGTGTCCGTCTACATTCTGTGTGAAACTGACCAATGGACACTCAGGAAATCACTAAGGACTGACCATCACACCGGAAACCCTTCATTCTTCATTCAGTCTACATTGGAGACACGTGTGAAACGGCGTGCATAGAGTTTACAGCTGCTGAAGTTGCTGCAGCGGTTTTGGAAAGTAGTGATGAAGATAACGGAGCATTTTGATATGAAACATATGAGGATCATGATATATGAAGAGCCTTTAAAGGAGAGTTTAAGGAGAGATGAACAAATCAAGAAACACTCTCTGACCCCAGAGGGTTAAATAGTCTGTCGGTGGTGCTGCTTTGGCGAACTGACCAACGTAAAGTGTCCGCTATTAATAGGCATATAGCTGGTTGACCAGCATAGGATATGTTTTCATTTCAAGTTGGCCAACCAGCATGACCCAGCTGGTCACACAGGCTAATAGACCAGCTGGGTCATGCTGGTTGGCCAGCTTGAAACGAAAACATATCCTATGCTGGTCAACCAGCTACATGCCTATTAATAGCGGACACTTCACGTTGGTCCGTTCTCAATATTGGGACTCAACTGGAACAAAAATAAAATGACTAAAACTCACTGTCTTCTTATTTTGGATACACAAACAATGATGCTTCTGTGGACAATTAAAAAACAACCTGAATGATTTCATTGATTTTTACATTGTGAAAGTAAGATTTGAATATAAATGTTTAAATGTTGCTTTTCACAATCTGCACTGTTGTCAGAGTTTTTTACATACATAGTATTTCAATATTTAATGTCATTACCACAACAGACTGACTGCTATTGAGGGTTTTTCATTTTCATTTGTGCCACATTTTTTTTTTTTTGATTTCATTTCCTTGGGGTTTACATGGAAGTTAAGAGATTCAACAGTTAAAAGTAATACAGACCCAATTTTTCTGATTGAAAACAAAAGTCCAGTAATGAGAAACAGATATGTGGACATATCGTATTAATGATAGCCAGGAATGTTAAAAGAAATAAATAAATAAACCAATAGACAAATGAATAATTGAACTTTTTGGTGTTTTATGTAGAGGTTGCTGTGTGAAGGCCCTGGGCTGACCCCAGTAAAGTAGAGAAGAAGATGGTCCCATTCTGATCAGCAGTTCACAGTTTTGTCCAAACCCCCCCAAAAATTCCTGCTTTTTTCCCTCATTCACAAACTCTGTTTTCCATGCCATCTTACCGTCTGTCCCAAAACCTGGAGACTATCTGCTCCAAACAAACCCATCAGAGCTTCCACAGAGCTGCAGGAGCTGCTGAAGGTGAGGATCTTCAACACCTCACACACTCATACACTAAGTTTCTGATGCACTCTCAAAGGAATGGAGGGAGAGATCATCACTTTTTAACATTGTAGATACAGGTTACACATTTTCCACATACTTTCTTTGACCTCTTTGAGTTCTATCCACCCCACTGGCACTCTATCAGTTATATCCAGCATCTGAAAATGGTTCCTGGTGTTTTCGTCAAAGACAAGTGGGAAGTTCTCCAGGTCATATTTTGGACATCTGATGGTTTGATCTTTTTCCCCTCACATTCACTTTCATCTCAGAAGTTCATGATCTGTTCCACGGTCATCTCCAGGCTTTGTTTTTGCTGTTAAAATGGAGCTCTTAGATCTTTGTGCAAAGAATCAGTGAACTCCATGGTGATGTTCAGTTGCACAGGTGTCGTTCTGGTTGCTTCAAGAATGTATTAGTTATGAAAAAGTCATTGTGTTCACAGAAGTTTTAGATGTTCTCCTGCTTCATTCCTGTTTCCAAGGCCATGGTGTCCATCTGTATTGCCCTCCTCATCCCCAGTGTTGGGGAGCAGTTAATTACGTTTAATTAACTAGCAGTTTAACTGCATTCATATTTGCATAGTGATTCACATAGTTAAATGATTTTTTGCTATTTGTTGTGTAGTTAACTATCGACACTACACACAATTTTGGGCCATAAATGCTGACGTTGCACTTTCCCATGAACAGTGGGTTATTTTATTATTTTGTTTATGTATGAGCTGTGAAACTCAGTTGTGTGGCATTTTTTGTATATTTTGTTATAATCACATGTGCACTGTCAATTAAGTACTTGGGTCACTCTACAGAAACGTCCACTTTTCTATCCCTCCATAGGAGTCACTGGTGTTACTGATCCTCATTGGTGTTACACATAATAAAGGGAACACCAGAGACATTTTAACGAAATATGCGTTTTACAAAATAATGCTACAGAGCATCAAACCACATGTTGTCAATCATGGAATATCCACTAAAATATGTCATTTAATCCATTTATATTCTGTTTTTTCACAATTACCTCAGAATAAAGTCGGTCACACCAGTGACTTCAGCTAAAAGCTTCATATGAAATCATGAGCTAAATGAGAAAATCTCTGATAACTGAAAGACACAGTGGACTCACCATGTGCTTTTCTTCATAGATCCTCAGAAAACAGGTAAAAGGAAGTCAAGTAATGTCATCAGTGTGACTTTTATTTCAAAATAAGAGATTTTTTGTTACGCGGTAACACCAGTGATACGACTCCTGGGGACAACAACTTCCATTATATATTTTATTATAATTATTTGGCATTTGTTTTCTTTATGTCATTTAATTTATATATTCCACAGTCATGTATAGATTATTTTAGTTACATTTTCAGAAAAACATGTTTTTTTTTCTTCAGAATATGGCCTCAGCCTGTACACATGACTGTGGGGACAAGCTCTTCTGTGGTACTTGGAATTCTAGATAATTGATTTAAAAACCAATATTGCTAAATTGATCAAGAAGGTGTAATTGTTAAAATAACTTATTGTTTTATTTGAAAATATAAATGAATTGTAACCCTAACATGTTTTTCAAGTGTAATGTATCTGTAAATGCTAGGGACACAAAAATAGACGTTTCCGTAGAATGACCCAGTTTCAACTACTTTAAATACACACCTGAAAAAAGGTGGTTCTTGTTGATTGATTAAGAATGCGATCTGCTGTAGATGGTTTCGTATAGAACCCTTTTGAAAAAGGTCCTCTACAGCACTAAAAATTGTCCTTATATCTAACAAGCTTGACATCGTAACAATAGAAGAACCCTTTTTTGTGTTCTGTGTGAAATGGTTCTCAGATTGATGGAGAATGTGTTCTATGTGGTTCTATACAGCACCAAAAAGGGTTCTGCTACTCTTACAAGCTCGACATTGTAACAATAGAACTCTTTGGTGCTTCTCATAAAGGTTCTATATAGAACCATACACATCCATCAGTGTGAAGAACCATTGCACCATGCAGAGAACCATTTTAGCATGCAAATGGTTCTATTAAAGAACTCACAGCTATAAACAGAACCATTCCCTTTACTAAAGAACCCTTGAAGAACCATCTACTTCCAGTTCCAGTGTGACGCTCCTGCAGCCCAGGTGGGGGCGCTGTTTCTGTAACTGTGGTTCTTTAACCTCAAAAAAGACAAAAGAGGAGAAGAAGATCGCAGCTGCTGTTTTGATCAGCACTTCAAAGCAAATCCTACGAAAGTTCCTGTCATTTTTTTCTCCTGGTTCTCCTCTTCCAGCGTTACCCGGATGTTTCCGTGTTCGTGCTGCCTTACCGGCTGTTTCAGAACCGGAACCGGAGAAGCTGCTACAGACAAACCCATCCGAGCTTCCATAGAGCTGCAGTCTGGAGAAGCAGGAGCTGCTGAAGGTGAGGATCTGATACAGGAGGCCGGTATGTTCATAATCCTACATCATAATCTGTATTAAGCCTTATTTAAATGTATATTAAAAATAATAGAACCCATTAAAAGTTTCTGCTGGTTCCTGCTGGTGTCCAGTAGTCTTTATTGGTGTTCTGTGTTCTCCTGATGGGTTGGTATCACAGTGTAAAGGACTCCAATGGTTTAACATGTGCTCTGAGTCTAGACGCATTTGATGGTTTCCTAATGGGATCTAAAGGTGTTCTACAGGATAAAATGATTACTTCTAATGGTCACCATTAAGCCAATTCCCATTAGAAAGCAAGACAATCAGGTTTTAATCCTATTGATTCTAATGGTCAGAGTACATTTGTTCAATGGACTCTTAGTTGAAATCCATCAGTTGTAAGATTCATGCTGGAGCCTGTTTTTATGTTCAATTTTAACTTATTATTATTATTATTATTATTATTATTCTCCTCTGAAATTGGTCGGCACTGTTCCTCTTACAGCTTGCATGCTAGAACCACCAAATCTGAGTGACTGTAGAGCCTAAACCTGAGAGTTATGCTGGTCCTTTTGGTGGTTTTTGCTCCACATTATTCAGACAGGATATTATTTCAGAGACTCCTGTAGTGACTCTGGTTCTCTGGTGCTCTGCAGATAAAAGCAGATTTTCCCAGTTCAGCTCAAACTCTACCTGACAGGTGATCAATCACTACAGCGAGTCTGATAATCTCTCTTATTTGTAGAGATCAGAGCTGAGATATAGGCTGGCATACACCCAGAGAGAGATTTATAAATAATAAAATAAAATGCAGGCTGGAACTGAACTGTGCAGGATCAGGGCTGGACATCACTGCTATCTGTGTAAAGGACTTTGGTGCAACATCAGTTGTTTTAAGTGTGCAAGAAGAAAATATTAGTTATTTAGTTATGTAATTACTTATTGGGCTTAGTCTTTGTGAAACTACTTCATAAATTACAAAGTGATTTATTTATGGATGTTTTTTTAATATACATTTATAAAGACTATAATTTTGCAGTTTATTGTATTACTATTATTTATTATTGTTATTATTATTATTATTATTATTATTATATAATGATTGTATTTATCATGTATTATTAATTTATTGTTATTTATTTGTAACTAATTCATTATTTTTTAATTAGAAATAAAGTAAACATACAGGAAATGTTCCCAGCACACTGTTAGAAATAAAGGTTCTGTGCTGGTACTTTATTCGTTCATCAAGGTACAAACAATGCAAATGTTCCCTCAGTGGTACAACAGTGGTTTTAAGGTCTGATTGTGAACCTTAAATAAGTTTTTCCAGGTGAAAAGTTCGTATTTGTACCTTTTCATAACCGAATGTTTTAAAACAGAACAGTAAAATAAAAGCCTGGAGACGAGACGGGGTGTGTGGAGTCAGTACAGCTTAGAACATATCATTTCAGTGGATTATGGTTCAGTTATGTTCCCTGACTAAAGGTCCTGAGATGGACCCTTAAGGGTTCCACCCCAGTGACAGTTTACTACCTTTATTGTTGAGAGTGTAGCGACTGACAACAACAGGATTATATTTGTGTTTATTTTCTATCCTAAATCATTTTTTTGTTCTGAACTCTACTAAACATTTGCCACACACCCCAATATTACATCATTCTGTGGCTGACATGCACATTGATATTTTGTATTGTTTTTCCTCTTTCAGGAATGACTGGGCTCCTGTTCTGAGTCTTCTCCTGCTCCTAGTGTCAGTTTGCCCTCAAACCTTTTACTGACCTCCTCAAACTCCTCAAAAAGGGGCACAGAGAGGAAAAACCTCACGCTGCTGAAGTCCGGAGAGGCCAAACGTGAGAACATGGAGTCCAGAGGAAGCTCCGTCACCCCGGAAACGTCCCCTGACAGTCCTCCTGCCGAAACACATCGCAGTAAAATGCAAAGAAGTCCCGTAAAGAAGAGAACTCACCACTGCTCAGAGTGCGGAAAGAGTTTTATTCAGCGCTGCCACCTGCAGCAGCACCAGCGCATTCACACCGGAGAGAAGCCGTATCAGTGCTTGGAGTGCGGGAGGAGCTTTATTCAGCTGGTCAGTCTCCAGAGACACCAGCGCACTCACACGGAGGATAAACCGCATCAGTGCTCGGTCTGCGGGAAGAGCTTTACTCTACAGAGTCAACTCCAACTTCACCAGCGCGTTCACACCGGAGAGAAACCGTATTACTGCTCCGAATGTGGGCGGAGCTTTAACACTCAGAACAGTCTCCATCGACACCAGAGAATCCACACCGGAGAAAAGCCATATCAGTGCTCAGAGTGTGGGCGGAGCTTCAGAAACAGAGGAACCCTCCAGTCACACCAGCGCACTCACACTGGAGAGAAGCCGTATCAGTGCTCGGAGTGCGGGAGGAGCTTCATTCAGAAGAGCATCCTCAAAACACACCGCCGCACTCACACCGGAGAGAAGCCGTACGACTGCTCGGAGTGCGGGATTAGCTTCGGTGACAGGAGTACCCTCCAGAGACACCAGCAGATCCACACAGGAGAGAAACCGTATTACTGCGCAGAGTGTGGGTGGAGCTTCAGACATCTGACTTCTTTAAAGAAACACAAGTGCATCAAGATCACGCGTGGAGTTTCTCAAAGCAGCGGCTGTGAAGTTTTTTTCTTCTAGGTGAACCGTAACCTGTATTTGTGAGGACAGTTAGTATAATTGAAAGAAAAGCTCTCCTGTAGGAGTTATACATCTGTATGATTGTGTGAGTATGTCTCTGGTCTGCAGGACCACACTCTTAAAAAGATGCTTGCATGGTTTAAAGGGTTCTTCACATGTAGAATACACCTATCAGGCATAACATTATGACCACCTCCTTGTTTCTCCATTTTATCAGCTCCGCTTACTATATAGGTGCACTTTGTAGTTCTACAGTTACAGACTGTAGTCCATCTGTTTCTCTGCATACTTTGTTAGCCCCCATGGACCCTCACAGAGCAGGTACTATTTGGGTGGTGAATCATTCTCAGCGCTGCAGTAACACTGATGTGGTGGTGGTGTGTTAGTTTGTGTTGTGCTGCTACGAGTGGATCAGACACAGCAGTGCTGCTGGAGGTTTTAAACACTGTGTCCACTGACTGTCCACTCTATTAGACACTCCTACCTTGTCAGTCCACCTTGTAGATGTAAGGTCAGAGACGATAGCTCATCTGCTGCTGCACAGTTTGTGTTGGTCATCCTCTAGTCCTTCATCAGTGGTCACAGGACGCTGTTGGCTGGATATTTTTGGTTGGTGGACTATTCTCAGTCCAGCAGTGACACTGAGGTGTTTAAAAACTCCAGCAGCACTGCTGTGTCTGATCCACTCGCAGCAGCGCAACACACACTAACATACCACCGCCACATCAGTGTTACTGCAGGGCTCAGAATGATCCACCACCCAAATAGTACCTGCTCTGTGAGGGTCCATGGGGGTCCTGACCACTGAAGAACAGGGTAAAAGGGGGCTAACAAAGTATGCAGAGAAACAGATGGACTACAGTCTGTAACTGTAGAACTACAAAGTCCACCTATATAGTAAGTGGAGCTGATAAAATGGACAACGAGTGTAGAAACAAGGAGGTGGTCATAATGTTATGCCTGATCTGTGTATGTTGTCTATGATTCTATATAGAACCTTTTTGAAAAGAGTTCTTTATAGCACCAAAAAGGGTTCTTCTATTGTTGCACGCTTGACCTCATAACAATAGCAGAACCCTTTTTGGTGCTATATAGAACCATTTTTAAAAATCTTGTATACAGAACCATCCACAGCACATTCTCCATCAATCTGAAGAACCTTTCCATGATGCAAAGAACACCTTTAAATCATGCAAATGGTTCTTTGAGTTTTCATGGTTCTATATAGGACCATTTTCTGTACTAAAGAACCCTTGAAGAGCCATCTTTTTAAGCATGTGTTTCTGATGAATAGGGCCAGACAAGGTTTTTGTTTTACAGTGCTGCTATTTAGGTTTTTGTGTGATTCTTTTTTCTTATTGCCACATTTTTTTCAGTTTTTAATAATAAGAGGACAATTTTATGGTCACATGTTGGTGCTGAACAGACAAGATACAACAGCCTTTATTGTTAATAACATATTTTGAGAATGAAATAAACTCACACACCAATGGCATCATGCTGTAACTGTAATCTGACAGTGACTGCGTGTTGAGTGCTGTCGCCGCAGGCACAATCAGTAGCCAAAAAAATATCTCCAAACGATTGGTGCCGTGCAGCAGCTCTAAGCCAAGCAGAAAGCTTTGCCACATTTGTGTTAACATTAAATGGTTACTAGACTTTGGCTTCTTTCACATGTGTGCAGTAGACGGACGACAGCAAACCAGATATTCCACTGTTTTCAGTAGTGGCGACTAAACATTCTGCCACCGCCTGAGGCAGCGTTCCACACACCACAGCGGTGAGCAGATCGATCCATTAGGAGTTCAGTTTTTCCCGTTTTTGCTGTCGACCGCGGCGGTGGAATAAACCGTATGTTGTGTTTTTTGGGAGCAAACATCTCATTGAATTCCAGATGAACTCAGTATTGTACAACACAAAATAAGAGTACAGATCATCTTCCTGCCTTTCTTCACTTTAAATAAACAATCTACACTGAAAAAGCTTTTCTAATAATGAAGCAATAAATCACTCAAGGCTGTGCGTTACTGTGATTTTACATGGGGAAGTTGTTCACAGGCAAAACCTCCTTCCCCATGGTAAAATCACTGTAACGCGCAGCCTCCAGTGGCTCATTGCTTTTATAAAACGGTGACCAATGTAAATACTGGCTCCTGCACCACAACAGTGCTTAAGTATAGTTAACAAACAGTCATTTGGGACACAGCCACATCCAGACTGGACACAATGCACTGTTTGGCTGTATTAGATAGAATTTCTAAACTTACACAGCGCACTATTTAGGGAGTACAGAGCCGTTTGAGACTCAGCCTGGGTTAGCTCAGGGCTAGGTCGTTACCGTGTTAGCTCAGGGTTAGGTGGTTACTGCGTTAGCTCGGGGTTAGGTGGTTACCGCGTTAGCTCGGGGTTAGGTCGTTACCGCGTTAGCTCAGGGTTAGGTCGTCACCGCGTTAGCTCGGGGTTAGGTCGTTACCGCGTTAGCTCGGGGTTAGGTGGTTACCGCGTTAGCTCGGGGCTAGGTCGTTACCGCGTTAGCTCAGGGCTAGGTTCAGGTTTACCGCGTTAGCTCGGGGCTGGGTGGTTACCTCGTTAGTTCAGGGCTGGGCCGTTACCGCGTTAGCTCGGGGCTAGGTGGTTACCTCGTTAGCTCAGGGCTGGGCCGTTACCGCGTTAGCTCAGGGCTAGGTGGTTACTGCGTTAGTTCAGGGCCGGGCCGTTACCGCGTTAGCTCAGGGCTAGGTGGTTACCTCGTTAGCTCAGGGCTGGGCCGTTACCGCGTTAGCTCAGGGCTAAGTCGTTACCGCGTTAGTTCAGGCCTGGGTCGGTGCCGCGTTAGCTCAGGGCTAGGTTTTTACCGTGTATTTTCCCATCGCTGGCTGAGTTGTGGTTGCTGATGCGAATGATTCTCAGTTGAAAACAGGTGTGATTTAATCAATCAATCAACCTTTATTTGGGCTCTGAAGTACATTGAGGGTGACCTTTATTAATAGTGTAGCCAAGCAGTTTAAACAGGGATTGAAAATGTTCAAACTGAATTTAGAACAAATCAAGACTAACAACAAAATGAGCAAAGAAAATTTATATTAAAGAAATAAAATATACAAAAACTCAAATAGGAAATAGATGTAGAAAAGCAACAAAATATATGGGAAAAAAATAAAAAAGTAAATAAAAACAACTAAAATAAGAAAAAGTAAAAATCTTAGGAATAAAATTATTCAATAAAATAGTAAAATAGAACAGTAAAAGATAAGTGAAGGCTGAGTGGAGGAGGTTAGAGACGAGAGGTTTATAATGGTGGAGTGACTCCAGTGAGCCGAGCTCTAGAGTTTCTGTAGTGGATTCCAGTTCACTGGAGCGAAAAGCAGATCTTCCAGTTCAGTAAAAAGTCTCTGAAGCTGACAGGAGATCAGCCACTAGAGCGAGTCTGATAAACGCTGATATATACAGACAGTATAGATCTGATATAAGGTGGCGTCTGGCCAGAGAACGCCCACTAAATAAAAACAGACCAATAACCCAGCTGAGAAAAAACATAGAACCCATTAAAAGTTCCTGCTGGTTCCTGGTGGATTCTGTAGAGATGATGGTGGACCTCAGGCGCAGCCCCCATCTCCACACCGCTCCCAACATCAGCAGCTCTGTGGTTTCCACTGTGAAGAACCAGGAGTCGCCATGACTACAACACAAATATAGACATTTTATTTACTATCCAAAACCACCAGTGAACCTACACGAGTCCTCTGAGTTTATACGGGTGTTGATGATGGAAAATAGTGGAAAATCTGAAATAGTAAGTTTTCTTTGGGGACTATTTTGCCTCACAGCACTCTGCATGTTTGTATCCCTCCCCCGTGAATGGATAGGTTCTCAAAACTATCATAAACAGTGTCTCAGTCATCAGGCAGTGAATTCATAATCATTTCATGTAGGAACTTTATGTGAGGGAGCTTTTAGAGGGGGACGTCTGGTTCCTATCACCACCACTGTGAACAATTCTGACCCAGTAAGTTTCTACAACGGACTGTTTCACACCAAACCTACGACGGCGTTTTAGGGCCACTCTTAATAAAAATAAAAATAGCAGACTTCGAGAATAAAGTCGTAATATTTCAAGAAAAAGGCCGTAATAATTCGATAAAAAAGTCGTAATAATTCGAGAGAAAAAAGTCGTAATATTTTTTCAGAATAAAGTTGTAATATTTGGAGGATAAAGTGGGCTAACTGTAGGCGGGCTAACTGTTGGGGGGCTGCCATACCGTGTTGGGGTCTCGGTCGCTGTACTGACTGAGCTCCACTCACTCCTGTCTCTCTGTGGATCATTTTGATCTTCATTCTCACTGTCTGTGAAACTTCATGCCCTCTTTGAATGGGTGGAGATGTAGCCCCCGATAGCCGTGTAGACGACCCTGCCTGAGATTCTCCTTCAGCAACACAGACAGACAGTTTCCTCCGAGTCCGTCTGGCTCTTTATTCTAGATAAACACAGTTTCCTCCGAGTCCGTCTGGCTCTTTATTCTAGATAAACACGGTTTCCTGCTCAGCCGTTTCAGCCGGGTCTTATCCTAATAACAGGCTGGTGCTGATGTGCAGGAGAGACAGGGAGACTGAGTGTTTCTTTATGGGTGAATCGATATGAAAGTAGAACTCCACCAACTCACCGCCCCTCACTTAACACGAGGAGGCGCTGCCTTATTAATATTGCGACCTTTCCTGGTATTAATGCCACTTAAATGTCGTAATTCTACAACTTTTTTTCTCGAAATATTACGACTTTTTTTTTTCGAAATAGCACGACTTTATTCTCGAAATATTACGACTTTTTTCTCGAAGTCTACTATTTATATTTTTATTAAGAGTAGCCCTAAAACGCCGTTGTACAAACCACTCTGAATTCTGCAGGAAAAATTCGGTGGACTTCCCCTTTAACAGCTCATTTAGACCCTGTGATCGCTTGGTTCTAGTGTGACGCCCTTGTAGTCCAGGTGGGGGCGCTGTCACTGTGGTTCTCCAGCCTCTGAAAACAGCGGAGAAGAAGAAGAAGAAGATTCGCCCATATAATCTCTCAAACTGCTGTTTTGTCCAGATTAAACGCCTCTACCTGAGATCCTCTCCGGAGGAGAACACCCTGCAGGAGAACCCGGAGCTGCTGAAGGTGAGGAGCTCTTCCACACTGAGACACTGAGTGTGGGAGACGGTGGAGCGATGATGGTCTGTTTCTGAGCTGCGACACTGTGAACGTGGCAGAACTTCATCTGTGCATGATGAGGTTCTACATCAGCAGGTCTTGGGGCTGGAACCAGAAGAAGTGTGAGTCAAAAAGACACACCAGACGCTCAGCTCAGAGTGTCGAGGCTCTCAAGAACCAAACCTTCTCCTGTTTGTGAGGTTCTGAAAACCAGGATCAGAGCCTTTATTGGTCACCACCAGATGTTCTGATGGTGGTGTCAACATACAATTAAACCCAGTAAGATAAATGGAGAAAAAGATCTACTGTATATGAACATAAACGGACAGTACAGTCTGCATGTGCAATGAGACACAGATACAACCTAGAACAGGAGTACCGAAAAAAGAACATTAGAACCATTAGGATTAAAACCTGATGGTTTTGCTTTCTAACGTGAATTGGCTTAATGGTTTACAATTAGAGAGTTAGAGACCACAGGTTTCCTGTACACTCTTGAAAAAAATGTTCTTCAAGGGATCTTCAGTAAAGACATTGGTTCTGTATGGAACCATGAACACGCAAAAACAATTTGCATGCTTAAATGATTCTTGCATGGTGAGATGTTCTTCAGACTGATGGAGACGCATATGGTTGCATATGGTTCTGTATAGCAACAGAAGGGTTCTTACAAGGGTTGTTACAAGATTGACATAACAATAGCAGAACCCTTTCTGGTGCTATAAAGAACCCTTTTCAAAAGAGTTCGATGTAGAACCATATTCTCATATAAATACATTATCCATAAATCTGGACAATTTCGGCATTAGGAGAAATATTTAAGCTTGCAAATTGTTCCTGGAGTGTTCATGGTTCTATATAGAAGAACTATATTGAAGAACTGTCTTTTTTGTGAGTGTAGAGCCAATAATCACTCCATATCTAACAGAGAGAACCCCCAAGAAAAATGTACCTGTCGTTCTTCAGCCCTGCCTGTGTTTATGATTGTGTAGAAAACTGTCGATTTTCTTAATTTAATATTGATTTATTATTGTTTTTATATTTGTATTCAAATATAAACAGCGTTCCTGCTCTGTTTGTTATTTAAGCAGTAGAACACTTGAGGTTGTGTGTTATCGTGAAATAACATCACAACTGTGATTTGGTCGCCGTAGATCATCACAGCCGTGATGTTATTGGCGATAACACACTCCTCGAGTGTTCTATTGCTTTTGTACAACAGTTAAATAACTAAAGTAATAAATTAATAAACTGGGTCGTGAACGCGGCGTTTAATATGTTTTAATGTTCGCAGTTCCTTCACCAAATTATAGTTCCTTAACAAGCAGCTTGAGCTACGTCAGAGTAACGAACTCCGCCCACTCGCTGCACAGCCGGCAGTTCGTTCTCCAGCTCCACACACTAAATTCCCAAACTGTCATCACCACTGAGCAGCTTTTCAGTCGGCAGCTGTGACAGAAGAACAGCTAAACAACCTGGGTACTTTACATCTGACTTTACATCTACAAGGTGGACTGACAAGGTAGGAGTGTCTAATAGAGTGGACAGTGAGTGGACACAGTGTTTAAAAACTGCTGTGTCTGATCCACTCAGACCAGCGCAACACACACTAACACACCACCACCACGTCAGTGTTACTGCAGTGCTGAGAATGATCCACCACCCAAATAGTACCTGCTCTGTGAGGGTCCATGGGGGTCCTGACCACTGAAGAACAGAGTAAAAGGGGGCTAACAAAGTATGCAGAGAAACAGATGGACTACAGTCTGTAACTGTAGAACTACAAAGTGCACCTATATAGTAAGTGGAGCTGAGAAAATGGAGAAACAAGGAGGTGGTCATAATGTTATGCCTGATTGGTGTACAGTGAACACTGCAGTGACAATCATTGGGCCTCGTTCTCCAACCGTTCTTAAGGCGAAATTTCTTCTTAAACTCACTTACGCAGTTATGAAGATTCTGACTCACCAGTGTTCTCTTATGTGGGATTTGTTCTTAGGTAAGAACTGAATCTACACACACTCAAGAGCACAAAGATGAGAACGGTTCTGCACTTTAAGAACACGTCATGAATCTGGCTTAGACTTTTTCTTAGAACGTTTCTCAAGAACACACTTAGGAACAAACTTGGAAGACATTGCAGAATGAGGACCAATGTTCTTCAAAAAACAAACATATGTAGTTTGGTCAGGTCCTTTTTTCTCACTTTCCTTTAACGTTCTCCTTCCTTTTGCAAGTGGATTATCTCATCTGGTCTCCTCAGAAACGTCTCCTTTAGATGTTTTAGAAAGATGCGTGAGGTGGTTGTTAGCGTGAATGCTGGTGTCTGTTTGAAGGGGAATGTAATGTCAGTGACTCCTTTAGGAGCAGCTTTGTTGGAGGACCCAGTCTGTAAGTGGTTGGTTTTAGGATAGGAAGGGTAGAACAGGTAAAGTGGCAGCAGGAGCACAAAAGCAGTGGAAATATTAATATTTAATATTTGATGTCATATTTAGTGTTGTAGGCTTCTGTGTAATTTTCTGATCATTTCTGCTTTTTCCTGACACTGAAAATGAACACCTTGCACTTAATGTGTATTTTGACTGAAAATGAGAGATACTGAGTGGGAGATAAAGAATAATCTAACATAATTCTAACATTTTAAGTAAGGGGTGTCAAACCCTAACCACTAAAAGGGCCATATTAAAAAATCTCAACAAATCTGTGGGCCTATTTGTAATTAATGCTGTGCTGTAACCTGAACTGGCCACTGTTTATTCGAAATGTGCAAAAACTTCAACAGTAAAATAGACACTTGTAGTAAACCTTGAAATATTACATGAGTAGTTGAAACATTCTAAATGTAAATGTCCCCAGAAGCTCAGTCTTTTAAAACCACATATCTCCTTGAACTAAACACCTGCCATCCTTTCTTTGCTGCAAGTTCATTAATACCTGGGCTCAGTTTCTGAGCTGCTGAGCTGACGTTAAGTGTTTATATTGCATGAACTGCCGTTGAAATGCAGCGAGTGTGTTTGGTGATGTGACTGGTGTGGAATTGTGTAGAATTGAGGTGTAACCACTGTCCCATAGACTGTTGTTGGGGAAGGAGAGTCGGAGCATGTTCCGTTGCAGTGCATGCTGGAAACTGCAGTGCAGCAAATTGTGAAACAAGCTTATATTAATAGAAAATGAAAATACGTTTGGGGGCCAGATAGGAATGCGTCGTGGGCCTCATCTGGCCTTGTGTTTGACACATGGGCTTTCAGTTTAAAAAGCAATGGTAGGCTGCTCAAAGCGACCAGTTTTTGTCTCACTGCAATGATAATACAGCGTTCACTTAAACAGAGCAGCTCCTGTAGATTTAGAATATAAAAGATACAAACTCTGCTCTAAAACAAGCACACATGGGTCTCTATCGCACTCAAATTCCAGTGCGTTTTTTATTATTATTTTATTTATTAACAGTTACATAAAATTATTAACAGTGAAGTCAGGGGGTGCTGCAGCCCCCTCAGCACCCCCATTTCTTACGTTCCTGCTGAGAACTGATTAATTAGATTTTATGGTTTGTTTTGGCTCTGGAAGTTGCCGAACATCGGTCTCGAAACATACGCAAACACTTTGAGTTGCGCAGACGAGGTTTCACACGTAGTTGTGTTCAAAAATGTGTCAACGCATTTCATAACGCAACGCAAACACAAGCTGCATTCTGAGCGTTACAGCAGGGGGCGCTATAACAGCCAGGCCTGCCCAAGTGGTCACGTGTTTCTCAACTGTTATAGCAGACGATCAGTTGAGTCTCGCACAAAGATGACTTACATAAACATAAACATATGATAGGTTATGACCTTTCCATTCCAGCAGGAGAGAAAAAGGTACAGCAGCTCACTCTCCTCTACTGTCCATGTTTAGCTGTTAAGGCTGTTGGAATAACAGTAGATCCTCTCTGATTTGTCCTCTAGCGCCCCCTTCAGTACTGAGTGTTTTCACGCATGGGGAGTTTGTACAGAAGGGCCGAGTGTTTCCAGTGTGTTGGCAGAGCGCTGTCATCGCATACTTGCGTTGAGTTTGTTTCTGGCCTCAGGTACTGCTCTCAATTTTGTCATCATTTTTCTGCGTTTCACATTAAGATTTGAATTTTTTTCTTCTTTTTCTCTTCCAGAAATGAACAGCGTCCTCTTCCCGACCTTCTCCTGCTCCTGCACAGTTTACGTTCATCACTAAGAAGAAAACTTCACACTGCTGAAATGCGGAGAGATTAAATGTGAGAATATGGAAGTTGGAAGAAGCTCCAGCACTGAGGAAGCGTCTCCTGATACTGTCCACACTAGCGCCCCGAGAGCTCACCCCTGCTTAGAGTGCGGGAAGAGTTTTACTCGACTGAGTTATCTCCGAATACACCAGCGCATTCACACCGGAGAGAGACCGTATCAGTGTTCGGAGTGCGGGAAGAGCTTTCGTGACCGCGGTGATCTCAGGACGCACCTCCGGATTCACACCGGAGAGAAACCGTATCACTGCTCGGAGTGCGGGAAGAGATTCGCTCAGCTGGGTCACCTCCAAACACACCAGCGCATCCACACCGGAGAGAAACCGTACCACTGCCTGGAGTGCGGGAAGGGTTTTATCGTGCAGAGCAGTCTGCAGCTACACCAGCGCACTCACACCGGAGAGAAACCGTATCACTGTTTGGAGTGCGGAGAAAGTTTTAACCGACAGAGCCATCTCCAACGACACCAGCGCATCCACACCGGAGAGAAGCCGTTTGACTGCTCAGAGTGCGGGAAGGGCTTCAGAGACAGAGACACCCTCCAAAAACACCAGCGCATCCACACCGGAGAGAAGCCATATTACTGCTCCGTGTGTGGGCGGAGCTTTAACCAACAGAACCATCTTCGAATACACCACCGCATTCACACCGGAGAGAGACCGTATCAGTGCTCATTCTGTGAGAAGAGATTTAGTGACCGGAGCACCCTCCAAAAACACCAGCGCATCCACACCGGAGAGAAACCATATTTCTGCGCGGAGTGTGGGCGGAGCTTCAGACATTCAAAAACTTTAAAGACACACAAGTGCATTAAGAGCGAGTTCGACACTCATGAAGTGACCGTGTTAGAGGTGGTGATTTGATTATCATTGTTATTTTTAGGTTAATTGTAACCTGCGTTTAGGCGCAACCATCTAAGCGTTGGCCCTGTCATCAGGAGATCATCAGGAGGTCGCGAGTTCGATCCCCCGGTGATGCTACGGCCGTCCGTGGTCGGGAGTCCAGGAGAGTTGTCCTCGCTCTCTCTGTGTGGTCAGGATGGCCCCCAGTGTCCCCCCCATCGCTCAGTGCGGTGCTAGCCAGTGCAGGTTAGCTGATGTAATAGAACAGGTGGTTAGTGTTCTCCTCCAAGCGCATTCAGCTGTTCAATGACACTGTGTGAGCGGCAGTTTGAAAAGATGCGATGGAGCTTCACAGGTCTCCTAGAGCTGGGGCTATCGTGTGATTGGGGTAGTCAGAACTAGGAGTGGAACTGGAAATAACTAAATTGGGAAGAAAAAAAAATCAACTAAAAAAAAAAAGGTAACAATTTTGCAGTGTAAATATCTTTTGTGTGATTTGTACATCTGCATGACAATTGTGATTATACATTAACATTTATAGCATTTAGCAGGGGCGCTCACTCGGAGATACACACTTAAAATTTGGTTCTTCGAGGGTTTATTTCATATTTAAAGCATTCTTTTGCATGGTGACGTTCTTCAGGTTGATTGAGAATGTGTTTGGCTCTATATAGCACCAAAAAGGGTTCTGTAATAAGTTTGACATTATAACAGTAGCAGAACCATTTTTGGTACAGTATAGAATCATTATCAACACGTTCTCCATCAATCTGAAGAACCATCATTTTTCAGTGTGTAGGACCGATTAGAGTCTAAACTACCCTCTGGCTGAGGTACTGAGATAGAATACTGGTCCTGAAGACTCTTCTACCATGTCGAGGGGGCGCTGTAGGAGAATTAAGGGGCGTGTAAGCAGAGTTGACCACATACTAAAAGGTTTTGGATTGGTGCCCAGTGAGGAATCCTGGCTTATTCATCCTAATAAAAATGACTGTTTTTGAAGTAACTGGACAGGTATGGTGGCAAAGAACAGCCGATACTGAGTGTGTTTACATGCACTTAATCAGATCGTTAGTGGATGCTTTGTTCGCATGTTTGGGTTGAACAAAATGGCATTCCACACATCATAGCGGTTTGCAGCCGACGACGGCATAAACCCACACAGTCGTCGCCATGGTGACCACGGTGCCGGCAAAAATGGATGATTATCAGAGGAGAGCTTTATTAGTGTAGAGTGTGTATGTAAGGTGGTTCTGCACTCTTTTGTGTTGTGTAATACTGAGTTTGTCTGATATTCAACAACGAGATGTTTGGCATCCACAGTCATCTCATTTGTTCCACCGCTGTGGTCGACGGCAAAAGTTGGGAGCTCAGTAATGGGGTTATTCGGTGCATGAAAACTCTCACCCTGATTTCTTTTGTTTCTCGAGCATGTGTGAAACAGAGCAGCTTCCCGGAAACAGAGAGCAGCGTTTAGCTGAAACCGAATACATGTTCGACCAAATGAAGGATATAAATACTCTTCATATTCTAGATGATGTGTGTTCATATTTTTAAAGTTATACTGTGTTTAAAAAAAAAACGTCAGAAATCTGATTACTGCCTGACTCATGTAGACACAGAGTTTCCCCATTATCTGATTACCCAAGAGCATGAAAACACACTGAACCGGTTACTGACACAATCTGATTTTCTGCAGTTATCAGATGATTAAGTGTAAACACACTGAAACAGTTACAGACACAGTCTGATTTTCTGCAGGTATCAGATTACTAAAAGCATGTAAAGACACTCAGTGTGGACTATTTTATGTAATACTAGGTTTGCTAGGATGATTTACACAACGTTTTGCATCATAAAATATTTCAAGTAGGATTAATGAATGGTTTTTAATCTTGACTGTATACAAACACTAAACTAAATTATGAACTACATGCTGTATTATTTATATCATTATTCTCTCATGTACATAAGTGTTCATTAACCAGGCACAATTATTTATTATTCATAATTGACTTAATATACTTCTTTGTTGCTAATCGATAATTAAACTGGATTTCCTGTTATTATTTGCCTGCTATGTCTTGTTTTTATTGTAATACACTTAAAGATGATTCTTCAGAACTTCAGAAGGACGAAATATTAGGGCTACATGGCCCCCCAAACAGTGCTATGAAAACAAAAAGAAAAAACGGCAAGATGGCTGCAAAGAAGCCCACAAATGTGAGAATTTTCTCTGTTAAAAAATTACAATAATCACTGTATTATCTTAGTTTAATGCTGTTTCAGTGTAGTATGGTCCTTTTCTTCATAACAAGCATAAAGAGCACTAGTAGTGCTGATGTCTCGGTAGCTAGCTAAATTTCCCGTTCCACCTTAAATGGTGCAGCAGTTACATTCTGGAGCCTCAGGCATCAGAACTGCTGCTCTATTTAAGGTGGAACAAGAAAATTCGGACGAGAAGCTGGATGAATATCTGACCTCAGCTTCGTGTCACTGAAGAATTAGGGGTGGGTGATAATAAGTAACTTCCTCCCCCCCACAGCAGCTTTAACTCACCTGTCCGATTCAATGCCTCACCTTGAAACGGGTCTTTTTAAATCAGCAACTGGGAACAACGTGGGTACACAAACCTGATATATATACTTCCCTCAGGTACTGGAACTCTGAATGCTGCTTCCGGATTGAGAGAGGAAAGTATGGGTATGTAAATCTGGAACACCTGGTCAAAATTGGAGGTCATTACAAAATAAAAAAAAACAGTTCCTCACATCCCCAGCAGACCTGAGGAGGGAATGTTGAGGGATTGCTATTGGACTGCATGCAGTTTGTGAAATGCCCCTGGTATTCGGGGGTCCCATGTTGTCTGGCTGCTAACTCTCTCACCATAGCGGCTCTGATGCTTCAATGGCAGTAAATGTTTGTTTTATCAGCTGTTCTGCTGTGAAGTCTCTGTTCTAGTGTGGTTCTGCGCTCTTCCTCACATTAACTGAGATCTTCCTCGTCTCCTCTTCTGTCTTCAGTGTGAGAAATGAGGAACAGTCACTCTTCACTCCAAACTCTTGGGAAACTGGGCGAGTTTTCTGATTTACAGATCTGCAGCTCATTGTAAAGTTTTTCAGAGGAATCCGGGCAGAGTTACAGTTTCTAGGCCATGAAGGACCAACTGGGTGAGCCAGTCTGCTACAGCGCCACCCTGAGGCAGAACAGTGCTGCAGCTCTAGTTAGTTAAGGACACCAAAGACCGAAGCTGATTGTGGGTGAAGCAGATAAACAATGAGCTTCAGTGAATCTGGATTTGAGTCTGTCTTTTGTGCAAATGGACAGAATAACTTCATGATAAGTTTATTTTCAGGGACCCCCAGAATTTAGATTTTGAGACATTCAGGGGGTCCAAGAGATTAATTAGGGGGTCCTGGGGATCTGGGTTCATTTTTGTATTTTCTCACAATGCCCATAGGTGTCTTTTATTAATAATTGATATACTATTTGACAAATAAACTAGATTCTCTATGATAAATCATTCCATCCCTTATTTTTTTGTTTTTGTTTTTAATGTAATAAGGTACTATTATTCATTAAAAACCATGGTGTGTTTCAACTGAGGTTGTTAAATCTTTTAAGAAGGTAAACCGTTCTGGAACTAGACCAACCCACCAGCAGAAGGAGAACATCAAGTCCACTGTTGCAGATGTGAATCCAGCTGTAGTCCTGACTGAGATCATCTCTGGCTGTGTTGGTGAGGTTTGTCACTGGGAGATTTGGTCGCAATGCCTCAAAACCAGTAGTAATAAGTTTCATTCAGAGCTTCTTTGTACTCAGTGTTGGTTCAACCATCCAACATCCAACTACCCAAAACTGGGCTTAACGCCTGCTCTGATCGGTTATCATTACGCTGAGGGTCTTTATCTACCCAATTAATGTTCCTCAGAAATATCAGTTGAGTTAAATTAGTGAGCCCTGCTGAAACATTAAAACCTAATGGGTTTGCTTTTTAGTAGGAATTGGCCTAATGGTTTCCAATAGAGGCCACTAGTTTCCTGTAGAACACCTTCAGATTCCATTAGGAAACCATCAAATGCATTTAGAATCAGCCACTGGTCACCTGTGAAACCATTAGGATCCTTTGCACTGTGATATCAACCCATTAAAAAAGCCAAAACACATTACAAAACCATCAGGAACCAACAGACACACTTAATGTCAACATTAATGTTAATAAATAACATCTTTAGGATTAAAGGAGTAAATAAGTTTGATAAGGATAAAAATGTGAGAGGATAATTTAGACCAGTGAAAGAGTAAATGATTAGTTTAATCAGTAGATCAGCAGCGCCTATAAAAAAAATGTCCGTCAGACTCTTTATCATCATGTCTCCGGTGTGAAGCCCCTGCAGCCCAGCTGGGGGCGCTCGATCTCTGACTGTAACCCAAATAAAGGGAAGAAGAAGATGGAAGAACCTGTTCTGATCTGATCAGCAGTTCGTCCAACTACACCTGAAGGTCCAACTGCTTCTCTCCGGGTTAAACTCCTCTCCCTCCACACCTGAACCCAGTGCAGGTTCTGAGTCCACTGGGACGTTCAGAGCTTCCAGTAGCCCCAATAGCTCAAGCACTGGGTGGAGAATCCTGGGTGCCTCGGTCTGCTGGGAGAGAAGATCTCCCCTCACACTCATTACAGCCAGAAGGTGAGAGTCCTGCTTTACATACACACTCAAAAAAGATGGGTCTTCAAAGGTTCTTTAGTAAAGGGAATGGCTGCATTTAGAACCATGAGTTCTGTAGGTTATAAAACCATTTCATGCATAATGGTTCTTCAGATTGAATGTGATGTATATGGTTCTGAACAGCACCAAAAAGGGTTCTTTTATTGTTAAAACATGGACATCATAGCAATAGCAGAACCCTTCTTGGTGCCAAATAGTAATTCAATAATAATAATAATAATAATAATAATAGTACAAAAAGGCGTACAACACGTTCTCCATCAATCTGAAGAACTTTTCACCATGCAAAGAACCATTTAAGCATGAAATGTTTTTAGAACTCTCAAGTCTTCAAGGGTTCTTTAGTAGAACTCATCATCTTTACTAAAGAACCCTCTGTTTATTTTATATCATTAAAGAACATGATTTGTATCTTATCCCTTCTGCAAGCAGTGGTGTCTTTTGGGGAAAACAAGCATCAAAAAAACTAAATAAATGCAAAGTTATGTAATCATTTTGTTCTTATCTTGTGTCGAAAACGCATCATATACAAATACTCTAATATATGTATTGTGTCATGAAGTTTGCGTATCATTACACCCCTTCTTGTACGGCTGAAAGGTTAATCGTTTTTATATCTAAGATAAGATATATAAGAAAAATGATTGAGTGCGATTTTATAATCAGTAGAGCTGCATTTTTATTATAGCCTATTTTATTAACAACATTGTCTTGAATTTTAAGTGGAGAACGTTAATCTAATAACGCAGAGCTTGTGGACCACCTGTAGATCAGTTAGACCAGGGGTGTCCGATCTTATCCG